TACCGCATGGGCGAAGGTGAATATTTTTATGAAGACTTCTACAAATATAGATTTTAATCCTCCAATCGAATTTTTCATCAGCTTATGCGACTAATTGTGGTCATCGTCTTGCGTTACAATCAAAGAATGCAGATTGCATCGAACTGATTTTATACAAGTTTTAAGTTAGTTTTGTTAGGCACCTACACTAAAGTTTGCAACTTCAATCATTTTAACCAGTTCGACGTAATTTCGCTTGAGAAACGGAGTATTTATAATGGGCCATCTTCGAGCAGTTGAGCAGTTCAAGTGTCTCATAACTGTGTTTGGAATTTCAAGGTTCGCTTAATGACCGATGAGTATAATCGAATAATGAGCGAGGCAGGTCCAAGTGAGCCAGTGCGTGTTGCCGGATGGCGTGATAGCTTACCGTCACCTGGTGAAAAGATTCTGGAGGTTGACAACGAACATAAAGCTCAACGAGTCATCAATCATCGATTATCACAGAAAATGGAGCAAAAAGCGATGGAGGATTGGGTATCTATTTTCTATTAAAAAATTTTTTTTACTTCTATTTTATATTTGCTCACTGGAAATGTTGAAGATGAATAGATGTAATTGTAAAATAATTCAACTTCAACCAATAAGTATTGCTTGATTTTATTTAGAGATGATTATTGCTGACTTAGAAAATGCATTTTCATTGTTGAATTTCACTTCACTTCACAATCAGTATAAGTTAGAATAACTTTTACTGATTGTGAAGTGAATTATTTAGCTGCTTTCATTATGTGGTGTTTTTTTTTTCAATATCTAATTTTCGGTAATTTTTTCTGTGTGTTTTGGGAGGTAATCGAAGCACAACGAGAGGCTGAGCGTAAAGTTTATTTGGAGAATCGTCAAAAACTGTTGGACAAAGGCGCTAGGTATGGATCAACATTAAGGAAGTTGGTGCATAAGGTTAGTTGATGAAAACTGGAAAGCCTCATTCCATTTCATTTGCTCATTTGGAAAGCATTAAATTTCTGAATTTTATTCTTTGTTCTACGCAATTCATCACACTTAAACATTATTGGTTAGTTTATTTATCTATTTACTAAAAAATTGAATTCTTTTCATTCTTAAGGAACATCGACTGAAGAAAGAAACG